AAGGGTCAGGGTCAGCCACGGGGTCAGGGCCAGCCAAGGGGTGAGGGTCAGCCAGGGCAAGGGCGTCGGGCATAGCGCGAGCGGATCCCAGGAAGCATGCCAGGGCCGCCAGCATAGCCATCAAAAAGGAGATCTGCGAAAAGGAACCTCTCGTCATATTCCGGCTCGTTAAGTCACGTATAGATTCCAAATAGTGTCATGGATGATTTTTAGAGCACAGGATATATGGAAGACTGACTAAGAGAGAGAGAGAGAGAGAAAAAAAAAAGAGCCAGTCTTCATATTTCGGCTCATTAAGTCACAGAGATACAAAAGTGTCATGGCTGAGAGCACAAAACATAGACTGACTAGAGAGAGAGAGAGAGAGAGAGAGAGCGAGATAGAAAGAGAGAGAGAGAGAGAGCGAGATAGAAAGAGAGCGAGAAAGAGAGAGAGAGAGAGAGAGAGAGATATCGACGAAAATACGAAATGGATGCTCATTTTGAATATTATAAATAAAGTGACCGTTCTTTTTCAACAAATACGGTCTCTTGCTATACTAAGTATTTACGTTTAGAAGTAGATAAGCTATATTATATAGATACAAATCACTTTAACCGAGCATTTGATGATACACAAGTTCAACACAAGTAAAATAAAGTAACATCAACTGCGACACTCACAAGCTTCATCTTGAAACAGGACAGCGTGTTGTCTCGATGCAGGTTGAGTGCAGGATAGACTGCTCTCGATCCTTCAGAGCTTTTATAACCCCTTGTAGAGCATTGGGGTTCCCCGTGCATTTCCTCAGGGGATGGGAGCTCAGCGACATTTTGCTATGAGATTTTTTTTTCTTGCATAAGCTTAGTTGCGTGATAGTCTGTTTATATACGCACACATAGAATGTCTACGCTTGTGTGTTTGTGAGGAAATACTTATATTACATGATATACTTATATTACAGGATATAATTATATTACAATTATATTACATTACGTGCGTAATATATGTGAATCTATGTGCGTTTACACACACACACAAACACACACACACACACATAGACGTCAAATGACCAACTAACAGTACCGAAAACAAGGAAAATTCTAGAACTTCCCAGAAAGTCTAAGTCGAGCGACGCCTTGAATATCCTATTTCATGTAAATATATGTATGTATACATATGCATATATATATACACATATATGTCTGCGTATGTGTATATTCATATGTATATGTGTGTGAGTGTGTATATGTACACACACACACACACACACATGCAGTACTCATTCCTTGAGATCGGCGGTTTCAACCATTTTGGGTAGAATGTATCCCGAAATGAAAGCAACGTTTCATTTCCTAATTTCAGACTTGACATTAGTAGCCAGAATTTCCATCTACAACCTTACTCACTGCAGTTACACGTCTTGGCATGCCTGTTATATATTGGCGCGCCTTTTCTCTAACTTATGACATGCCTTTATCAATCGCTCAGTTTTCATCAACTTTGTTAATACATTCTACTTAGCTTATCTCGTCTTTCTTGTCTTTCCATAAACATTCTATAGGATTTAAATCTGAATTGTTTTCAGGTCAATCAAGCACTTTTACTACCATGATTATGTAAACGGGTTTTAATACCTTTGGATAAGGGGCAGGGAGCTCCACCTTACCTGAAAATGCAGTCATTATCTGGGGAGAAGTTGGGGGAGAAGACGTCTATGAGTGTCACGATATATAACTTGATATGGTTTATGTTTTACGGTCCAATCTTCCAGCATGCCAGAGATCACAGAGCACACCAAGTTTATTTGTGCTCACTGGCAGTCGGGGTGAGATTCAACAAGCTAGTTCTAACAAAATTTCTGCCGTAGACTTATCAGAGAAACAAACCTGCAAATCAAAATAACAAATAAAAGTTACGAGATGATTGGAACCTTCAAATAAAACCCTCTTGAACTCTATCGCCAACATGACCTTTTTCCAGATCTCAAACATTGAACATCATATTACATTTTTCTAACATGTATTTCTTCCATATTTCACTAAACTATGTTCGAGTCCCACAGTTAGCTTTACCTTTTCCCAGTCCTCCGATGTCCAACCCTTGTGATTCTTTGTCCAAGCCATTCGTTTCTTCCTTATAGTTACGGTTAGTGTTGGCACCTTAGTTGGTCTGCGTTGGCACCTTAGTTGGTCTGCGTTGGCACCTTAGTTGGTCTGCGTTGGCACCTTAGTTGGTCTGCGTTGGCACCTTAGTTGGTCTGCGTTGGCACCTTAGTTGGTCTGCGTGCACGGTATCCCATCTCATGTAACTTTCTTTCTGACTGTAGAGGGCTTACATTCGTCGCCATAGTTCCTCCATTCATTAGCCAAATGCCTGGATGACTTCAAGCTATTTTATTTAACCACATTTTAAAGCATTCTGTCTGGTCTGGGAGAGGAGACACACTTTCCTCTTGGACTGGGTTCATAGTTTTTAAAATGTTCTTTTCACTTTTGCAACTGGATTTTTTTGGTTGACTTCGAGGCGTTTCTTGGAGATAAACTTCAATATCACAAAAATCAGTCTGACTCAGATAATTTCCTCGATTCATGGATTTTTTTGTAAAATTCTAAAATCTATCCAAAAGAATTAACAGGTATGATCATTTCCATCGTATATACTATACAGAACCCATATGGAGATTAAAAAAAATATTCGTAGCTGGTCTCAATAATGATATCAGCACTATATATATATACACACACATATATGTGATATATATCTATATATATATGTGTGTGCGTGCGTGTGTTCATATACATATATACTACATATATATGTATAATCTACACATAAATATACATATATGTGTACACATATATATATGTACACACACACACACACACACACATTTTATATGGAGATCGAGAGAGGTGTAAATTAAAATGTGCATGGATTAAGAGCTTTTATTCAGAGATATCAAACTGTATTGTCTCGATGCAAGTTTGAGTACAAGATACGCTGATCTCGATTCTTCAGAGCTTTCATACACCTTGTATTGAGGACTGGGTTTCCCCTTGTATGTTTCTTGGAAACATACAGAGGATAGGAGCTCAGGGGCATTGCTCCGTGAGATGTTATTTCTTTCTCTCATAAGTTTTATTGCATACTTGTCTGTTTACATACGCACACGCGAGCATAGTCTGTCCAAGCTTGCGTGTGTGTTTGTGTGTGTTTATGTTTGTGTTTGCGAGGATGTACTTAGATGTTGGAAGGTAGATATACGTATGGATGTGAATCTCCGTGCCTTCACACACACACACATACACACATGCGCGCGCGACATAAAAACTGGATGTCAAGTAACTTAGTAACAAAACCGGGAAAAGGGAAAATTCCAGAACTTCCCAGAAAGTCTAAACCGAGCGACGCCTTGAACATTCTTGCTTTTTTATATTTTTCAATGTAATAGTCATTTTGGGTATTCATACATATATATATGTGTGTGTGTGTGTGGATAGGTAAATATATGCACATACACATATATATGTATGTGTGTATATACATACATATTATTGTATACGTATATATACAGAATCCACTCATATATACCATATATGTACGTAAATATATACAAATATATATAAATAAACATATTTACACACATACATACAAATATGTATATATATATATATTGTGAGTGTATGCATGTATATATATAAATATGCATAGATATATAAATATGTATATGAACGTTTGTATACATATCCCTATATGAATATATATATAGAATCCATATAATAGACAGATAATTACCCAAATATATACATATATATATATCTATATACACATACATATATATGTATATACATGTGTATGTATATGTACATACATACAAACATATATATATATACTTATAGGTACACCAGATGCATAACACACACATACACATATATACATACTATATACATACATACATGTATATGCATATTTTTTACATATATATACATTTATACATATATATACTTCTATATTTATATATGCATGTATTTATATATATTTATATATACATATATACATGTATAAATATATATATGAATATATATATATTTATGTATATAAATGTATATACGTGTGTGTGTATGTGTTGGTGTGCTTGTCGAGCGTGTGTGGCGTTTCAGCTGACCAGAAATAAACCTTGTTTTCCTTTACTAAAATACATGAAAACCCCAAAAGGCCGGGTTCACATGGCATGTTAAGTTTCTATACCTGCATACATAGGGATCTATACGTGTATATTCCTGTGTGCGTGTTTAGTGTTATGTCTGAAGGCATGCGCACGTACCGACATATCAAAGAATACACGTCTTGGGGGCCAATGATGGAAAAACCCACACGGACTGAGGGCAAGAGACGAACCAGCTGACCGGGGGTATATAACGTCTCAAGGAGGAGTCTCAGTATCCAGATCACCCTCAGCCGTAGAGATTGCACCACCTCCCCAGCCAACATGAAGCTGGTGAGTCTTTGTCCTTTTATATATAACAAGTTTCCTCCGATATATATACCTACATACATATATATACACATACACCCTATTGAGTGCCCATGTGTTCTTTCTTTCTTAGATAACCTTCACAGAGAAAAGAATATTTCTCTTAGGATTATAAATGTATTTTCATATTTAGACTAACCAAAACAATAAATAACACTTTCTTTAAAGATTTAACTCAAAAAAGAATCTAATCCAAAAGAATCTGTAATTCGTTAAAATAATGGAAATACTTAAAAAAAAAATTTCCAAAGAAATAAATAATTCATGCGTTCGTGTTTTACTTTCTTGAGATAATCAACTGCAGAAAATAAATAAATAATCTACTGTATTTAAAATGCTTTAAAATGAAGTCATATATTCCTAAAAAATCACTTTCGTAAAACAAACTTTACAAAATTTGTCATCTGATAGATAATGTTTATAATCATGTTCATTCAGTTCTGCACGAACATACCTTACGTGCACGTGATAAGAATGTGCAAGGAAATGAACACTAGTCTTTTTTTCTGTATAAGACTTGCATGACCATTGTTATTAAAGGAAATTTGAATCAAAACAGAGTAAAGATAAATTCATTTCAGACATATACGCATGTTCGTGTGTGTGTTTGGTACGTGAGTTTGTATGTATGTCTTTATATTATCAGATATCTACTGGCATACCCCCTCTAAATATAGCTTAGATTATTATGTTTCATTATGTTCCATCATTTCACCATATTGCATTAAGAATAAACAATGCACTCACAGTCACACACATACATATACATACATATGATTATGCGTATATAGAGATAGACAGATAGACAAGTCAATGGAGAATGAGAGACAGAGTAGGAGATTTATGTTTCACACATGCAATTTCACAAATGAGAGCCCATCAAAATTTGAAGCTGAAGTCCCGGTATGTTTCATCCTTCGCAGATTTCCTTGTTGATGGCCATGGTTGTGGCCCTGTCCTGCTTCATGGGATCTGCTCTCGCCATGCCCGAGCCCTATGCCCTCCCTGACGCTGACGCCGTGGCAGAGGCCGAACCGTGGCGCTATAGGCCCCATGGGCACATCTATACCCACTACCATAGGCCCTACGGACTCCACAGTCATGTCTACTGGCACTAAGCAGTCACAGAAGGCAGTGTAGAAGACACATTACCGCCAATTAAGATTTCTTTCTCTCTCTCGCCCTCTGCTTATGTCTGTCAAAGTACCGATATCAATGTGGATACCTTTGTAAACTGAATTTTCTACTTTTGTTCGTCATGATTTCTTCAAGATATTAACTAAACACTCAAAATGTATCTTGAGAAAGAAATGGAGTTGCTACTTCTTTCCAAATTAAAAGATGTGCAAAAACAGTATTTGTTTCATTTTCTTATTGTCGGTAATGAAAGAATACATATTCACGTATATATATTTACATATATACATGTAATCCTGTGCATATAGATATATATGTATATATACACTATATATATATATAAATATATACTATATGTATATGTGTATGTATATATATGAATATATCTATCTATATAAATATATATACATATACAGATTTATGTATAGCTACACATACACGCATATATGTGTGTACTTGTGTATTTATTTCATTTTCTTATTGTCGGTAATGAAAGAATACATATTCACGTATATATATTTACATATATACATGTAATCCTGTGCATATAGATATATATGTATATATACACTATATATATATATAAATATATACTATATGTATATGTGTATGTATATATATGAATATATCTATCTATATAAATATATATACATATACAGATTTATGTATAGCTACACATACACGCATATATGTGTGTACTTGTGTATTTATTTCATTTTCTTATTGTCGGTAATGAAAGAATACATATTCATATTTACGCATATACATGTAATCCTGTGCATATAGATATATATGTATATATACACTGTATGTATATATATATAAATATATACTATATGTATATACGTGTATGTATATATATGAATATATCTATATCTATATGAATATATATACATATACAGATTTACGTATAGCTACACATACACGCATATATGTGTGTCCTTGTGTATTTATTTCATTTTCTTATTGTCGGTAATGAAAGAATACATATTCACGTATATATATTTACATATATACATGTAATCCTGTGCATATAGATATATATGTATATATACACTATATATATATATAAATATATACTATATGTATATGTGTATGTATATATATATAAATATATACTATATGTATATGTGTATGTATATATATATAAATATATACTATATGTATATGTGTATGTATATATATATAAATATATATACATATACAGATTTATGTATAGCTACACATACACGCATATATGTGTGTACTTGTGTATTTATTTCATTTTCTTATTGTCGGTAATGAAAGAATACATATTCACGTATATATATTTACATATATACATGTAATCCTGTGCATATAGATATATGTATATATACACTATATATATATATAAATATATACTATATGTATATGTGTATGTATATATATATGTATATATATATGTATATATATATGTATATATACACTATATATCTATATGAATATATATACATATACAGATTTATGTATAGCTACACATACACGCATATATGTGTGTACTTGTGTGAGTGTGTACGAAAAAAAAAATGCATATATATACACATGTGTGTGTATACCCAGTGTGTAAATGTATAAACATACATAGATATATATGCATATATATATATATATATGTATATATTTATGCCTGAATAAATATATATATATATATATAGGTATATATATATGTATATATATATGTATATATATATGTATATATATATGTATATATATATAAATATATATACATATACAGATTTATGTATAGCTACACATACACGCATATATGTGTGTACTTGTGTATTTATTTCATTTTCTTATTGTCGGTAATGAAAGAATACATATTCACGTATATATATTTACATATATACATGTAATCCTGTGCATATAGATATATATGTATATATATATGTATATATATATGTATGCATACAGACACTTAAATATATATATATATAAATATATACTATATGTATATGTGTATGTATATATATATGTATATATACACTATATATATATATAAATATATACTATATGTATATGTGTATGTATATATATATGTATATATATATGTATATATACACTATATATATATATAAATATATACTATATGTATATGTGTATGTATATATATATGTATATATATATAAATATATACTATATGTATATGTGTATGTATATATATGAATATATCTATCTATATAAATATATATACATATACAGATTTATGTATAGCTACACATACACGCATATATGTGTGTACTTGTGTATTTATTTCATTTTCTTATTGTCGGTAATGAAAGAATACATATTCACGTATATATATTTACATATATACATGTAATCCTGTGCATATAGATATATATGTATATATATATAAATATATACTATATGTATATGTGTATGTATATATATGAATATATCTATCTATATAAATATATATACATATACAGATTTATGTATAGCTACACATACACGCATATATGTGTGTACTTGTGTATTTATTTCATTTTCTTATTGTCGGTAATGAAAGAATACATATTCACGTATATATATTTACATATATACATGTAATCCTGTGCATATAGATATATATGTATATATATATAAATATATACTATATGTATATGTGTATGTATATATATATAAATATATACTATATGTATATGTGTATGTATATATATATGTATATATATATGTATATATATATGTATATATATATGTATATATATATGTATATATATATAAATATATACTATATGTATATGTGTATGTATATATATATAAATATATACTATATGTATATGTGTATGTATATATATATAAATATATACTATATGTATATGTGTATGTATATATATGAATATATCTATCTATATAAATATATATACATATACAGATTTATGTATAGCTACACATACACGCATATATGTGTGTACTTGTGTGAGTGTGTACGAAAAAAAAAATGCATATATATACACATGTGTGTGTATACAGATACACACACATATACATATTATATATGTGTGTGCATGCGTGTGTATACATACATATATAATTTATATATACACTAATTTATATATATATAAATATATACTATATGTATATGTGTATGTATATATATATGTATATATACACTATATATATATATAAATATATACTATATGTATATGTGTATGTATATATATATAAATATATACTATATGTATATGTGTATGTATATATATGAATATATCTATCTATATAAATATATATACATATACAGATTTATGTATAGCTACACATACACGCATATATGTGTGTACTTGTGTATTTATTTCATTTTCTTATTGTCGGTAATAAAAGAATACATATTCACGTATGTATATTTACATATATACATGTAATCCTGTGCATATAAATATATATGTATATATATATGTATGCATACAGACACTTAAATATATATATATATAAATATATACTATATGTATATGTGTATGTATATATATGAATATATCTATCTATATAAATATATATACATATACAGATTTATGTATAGCTACACATACACGCATATATGTGTGTACTTGTGTATTTATTTCATTTTCTTATTGTCGGTAATAAAAGAATACATATTCACGTATATATATACACATATATGTAATCATTTGCATATAGATATATGTATATATATATGTATATATATATGTATATATATATGACTGCCATAGCTAAATGCTGCACATTACATAATGATTTCCACCGGACTTCCTTTCTTACAAGCCTAAAAGCCTTTACACTTTAGCCATCCTGATTGTCGGCGGCCTATTGCCTGGCGAACAATAGGTCGAAAGCTCTATAGCCTCGCCTGGTGAGACTGCAGATTGACCATGTTATTACAGTCCTATATATTCTCGTGTTATGGGTATAGTAACATCACAGTTTATCTTCGTTGTTATATTTTGTTGTTATTTTATTTTGTTATTGTTTTTCTTTTTATACTTTTTATACGACAGAGGGGCTAGGTTTAGTCAATGCTGGTAGTGCATGTAATAGAACCGACAATCGGAAATCCGGAATAATGTTAAAGGTTAAGCGTCAGCTGTGACACCTTGTGAGGAACGAGGGAACGCTAGCAATACCTCCAAACTATCGGAAATTTGGCTTATCACTTTATTTTTCGATGAGATATATGGAAATCGAAAGAGGTATCAATGAAAATGTGCATGGATTTAAAAGCTTTTATTTAGTGATATCGAAATGTTAATTTTGTTCTGTGATGAATAACACCATCTGCAAGGTAACTGTAGCTGGGGATGACCTTTTCTACCAGTGCCTGTAATGACGACGGTATCCATAGCCTCCATAACCATACCTACGACGTCCATAGCCCCAAGGGTCAGGGTCAGCCACGGGGTCAGGGCCAGCCAAGGGGTTAGGGTCAGCCAGGGCAAGGGCGTCGGGCATAGCGCGAGCGGATCCCAGGAAGCATGCCAGGGCCGCCAGCATAGCCATCAAGAAGGAGATCTGCGAAAAGGAGCCTCTCGTCATATTCCGGCTCGTTAAGTCACGTATAGATTCCAAATAGTGTCATGGCTGACTTTTGAAGGCGCAAAATGTTTGGTAGAGTCCATATGGATTGCTAAACACTTAAGCAAGAAGCTGCTAAGCCTATACATTTTGGATGTTACAATTATTGTGACACTCACAAGCTTCATCTTGAAACAGAGGACGTGTTGTCTCGATGCAGGTTAAGTGCAAGATAGGCTGCTCTGGATTCTTCAGAGCTTTTATACACCCCATGTAGAGCACTGGGGTTCCCCTTGTATTTCCTGGAAATATACAGGGGATGGGAGCTCAGGGGAATTACTTGAGATGTTTTATTCTTTCTCACATAAATTTTGTTTGTCTGTTCACATACATACACGTGAGCATAATCTGAGATTGTGTGTGTGCGTGCGTGTTTGTGTTTGGGAGGATGTATGTCTGAAGGTAGATATACATATGGATGTGAATCATGGTGCGTGAACACACAGACACACACACACACGCACAACATAAAAACTGGATGTCAAGTAGCTTAGCAACAGAGAAAAGGGAAAATTCCAGAACTTCCCAAAAAGCCTTGAACATTCTCGCTTTTTGGCTTTTTGGATGTCATAGTTGCATTAAGGATATATACATACATATGTGTGTGTGTGTGCGTGTGTGCATAGGTGAATATATGCATATATACATATATATGTATATACATACATATGTTTTCATGTGTGTATACTTACATATATTTTCATGTGTGTATACATACATATATATGTATATATATGCGTATATATGTATATAAAGCTGTATATACATATCCATATATCCATATATACAATATATATATGTACGTACGTAAATATATATACATACATATATATACATATACATATGTATATATATATATATTTGTTGCGTATATATATTGTGTATGCATGTATATATTTATATAGAAATATATATACATATATATGTATATATATGCGTATATATGTATATATATGCGTATATATGTATATAAAGCTGTATATACATATCCATATATCCATATATACAATATATGTATGTACGTACGTAAATATATATACATATATATGTATATATATGCGTATATATGTATATATATGCGTATATATGTATATATATGCGTATATATGTATATAAAGCTGTATATACATATCCATATATCCATATATACAATATATGTATGTACGTACGTAAATATTTATACATACATATATATATATATACATATATATATATATATATATATATATATATATATATATATATATATATATATATATATATATATATATATATATATATATATATATATATATATATATATATATATATATATATATATATATATATATATATATATATATATATATATATATATATATATATATTTGTTGCGTATATATATTGTGTATGCATGTATATATTTATATAGAAATATATATACATATATATGTATATATATGCGTATATATGTATATAAAGCTGTATATACATATCCATATATCCATTTATACCATATATATATATGTACGTACGTAAATATATATACATATATATGTATATATATGCGTATATATGTATATATATGCGTATATATGTATATAAAGCTGTATATACATATCCATATATCCATATATACAATATATGTATGTACGTACGTAAATATATATACATATATATGTATATATATGCGTATATATGTATATATATGCGTATATATGTATATAAAGCTGTATATACATATCCATATATCCATATATACAATATATGTATGTACGTACGTAAATATATATACATATATATGTATATATATGCGTATATATGTATATATATGCGTATATATGTATATAAATATGTACATACTTAAATATATATACATATATGTTTGTGTGGACATGTGTACATATATATGTTGGTTGGGTGGTCAGTGTCCTGTATCTCCCATAGTTCATTCTATGCCTGTTTTCCATGTCTTTTTTAATCCTTTAAATTGACTGTGGGTCAAAAATGATAAATGTATATGTGTCATAGCTAAAAGCTTTGTATTCCATAGTGATTTCCACCGGACTTCCTTTCTTTCAATTCCTAAAAATCTTTACACTTTATCCATCCTGACTGTCGGTGGCCTGTTGGCCGGCGAACAATAGGTCGAAAGCTCTATAGCCTTGCCTGATGAGACTGCAGATTGACCATTTTATTAGTCCTGTATATTCTCGTGTTATGGGTATTATAACATCACAGTTTATCTTCGTTGTTATTTTTTATTTATAAATAAATAAATATATATGTCTATATGCATACGGGCACTTAAATATAAATATGTACATATATATGTATATGTGTGTGTACAAATACACACACATGTATACATATATATGTGTGCATGCGTGTGTATACATACATATATAATTTATATATACACTAATTTATATATATGTAACCATGTTCTTATGTATACATATATGTTTGTGTGGACATGTGTACATATATATATGTTGGTTGGGTGGTCAGTGTCCTGTATCTCCCATAGTTCATTCTATGCCTGTTTTCCATGTCTTTTTTAATCCTTTAAATTGACTGTGGGTCAAAAATGATAAATGTATATGTGTCATAGCTAAAAGCTTTGTATTCCATAGTGATTTCCACCGGACTTCCTTTCTTTCAATTCCTAAAAATCTTTACACTTTATCCATCCTGACTGTCGGTGGCCTGTTGGCCGGCGAACAATAGGTCGAAAGCTCTATAGCCTTGCCTGATGAGACTGCAGATTGACCATTTTATTAGTCCTGTATATTCTCGTGTTATGGGTATTATAACATCACAGTTTATCTTCGTTGTTATTTTTTATTTATAAATAAATAAATATATATATGTATATATGCATACGGGCACTTAAATATAAATATGTACATATATATATGTATATGTGTGTGTACAAATACACAATGTATACATATATATGTGTGCATGCGTGTGTATACATACATATATAATTTATATGTACACTAACATATATGTAAACATGTTCATATATATACATATATGTTTGTGTGGACATGTGTACATATATATGTTGGTTGGGTGGTCAGTGTCCTGTATCTCCCATAGTTCATTCTATGCCTGTTTTCCATGTCTTTTTTAATCCTTTAAATTGACTGTGGGTCAAAAATGATAAATGTATATGTGTCATAGCTAAAAGCTTTGTATTCCATAGTGATTTCCACCGGACTTCCTTTCTTTCAATTCCTAAAAATCTTTACACTTTATCCATCCTGACTGTCGGTGGCCTGTTGGCCGGCGAACAATAGGTCGAAAGCTCTATAGCCTTGCCTGATGAGACTGCAGATTGACCATTTTATTAGTCCTGTATATTCTCGTGTTATGGGTATTATAACATCACAGTTTATCTTCGTTGTTATTTTTTATTTATAAATAAATAAATATATATGTCTATATGCATACGGGCACTTAAATATAAATATGTACATATATATGTATATGTGTGTGTACAAATACACACACATGTATACATATATTATATATGTGTGCATGCGTCTGTATACATACATATATAATTTATATGTACACTAACATATATGTAAACATGTTCATATATATACATATATGTTTGTGTGGACATGTGTACATATATATGTTGGTTGGGTGGTCAGTGTCCTCTATCTCCCATAGTTCATTCTATGCCTGTTTTCCACGTCCTTTTTAATCCTTTAAATTGACTGTGGGTCAAAAATGATTGTGTCATAGCTAAAAGCTTTGCATTCCATAGTGATTTCCACCGGACTTCCTTTCTTTCAATTCCTAAAAATCTTTACACTTTATCCATCCTGACTGTCGGTGGCCTGTTGACCGGCGAACAATGGGTCGAAAGCTCTATAGCCTTGCCTGATGAGACTGCAGATTGACCATTTTATTAGTCCTGTATATTCTCGTGTTATGGCTATTATAACATCACAGTTTATCTTCGTTGTTATTTTTTATTATTTTATTATTTTTCTTTTTTGTACTTTTTATCCGGCAGAGAGGCTAGGTTTAGTCATTGGTGGTAGTGCATGTAATAGAACCGACAACCGGAATTCCGGAATATTGTTAAGGGTTACATGTCAGCTGTGACACCTTGCGAAGAACGAAGGAACGCTAGCAAAACCTCCAAACTATCGGAAATTTGGCTTATCACTTTATTTTTCGATGAGATATATGGAAATCGAAAGAGGTATCAATGAAAATGTGGATGGATTAAAAAGCTTTTATTTAGTGATATCGAAATGTTAATTTTGTTCTGTGATGAATAACACCATCTGCAAGGTAACTGTAGCTGGGGATGACCTTTTCTACCAGTGCCTGTAATGACGACGGTATCCATAGCCTCCATAACCATACCTACGACGTCCATAGCCCCAAGGGTCAGGGTCAGCCACAGGGTCAGGACCAGCCAAGGGGTGAGGGTCAGCCAGGGCAAGGGCGTCGGGCATAGCGCGAGCGGATCCCAGGAAGCATGCCAGGGCCGCCAGCATAGCCATCAAGAAGGAGATCTGCGAAAAGGAGCCTCTCGTCATATTCCGGCTCGTTAAGTCACGTATAGATTCCAAATAGTGTCATGGATAATTTTGAAGGCGCAAAATGCTTGGTAGAGTCCATATGGATTGCTAAACACTTAAGCAAGAAGCTGCTAAGCCTATAAATTTTGGATATTACAAATATTACACTTACAAGCTTCATCTTGAAACAGAGGACGTGTTGTCTCGATGCAGGTTAAGTGCAAGATAGGCTGCTCTGGATTCTTCAGAGCTTTTATACACCCCATGTAGAGCATTGGGGTTCCCCTTGTATTTCCTGGAAATATACAGGGGATGGGGGTTCAGGGACATTACTCCATGAGATGTTTTTTCTTTCTTGCATACATTTTGTTGTGTACTTGTCTATTCTCATACACACACGGGAGCATAATATGAGATTTTATGTGTGTGTATGTGTTTGTGTTTGCGAGAATGTACGTCGGAAGGTAGATATACATATAGATGTGAACCTATGTGCGTACACACACACACACATACAACATAAAAACTGGACGTCAAGTAACTTAGTAACAAAACCGAGAAAAGGGAAAATTCCAGAACTTCCCAGAAAGTTTAAGCCGAGCGACGCCTTAAACATTTTTGCTTTTTGGCAATGTTTTCATGTCATTGTTGCATTAAGTATATATACATATGTGTGTACATAGGTAAATATATGCATATATACACATATGTGTTATATATATATATACATGTGTATGTATACGTCGTGTGTAAATGTGTATATATACACATACATATGTACATACTTAAATATATATACATATATGTTTGTGTGGACATGTGTACATATATATGTTGGTTGGGTGGTCAGTGTCCTGTATCTCCCATAGTTCATTCTATGCCTGTTTTCCATGTCCTTTTTAATCCTTTAAATTGACTGTGGGTCAAAATGATAAATGTATATGTGTCATAGCTAAAAGCTTTGTATTCCATAGTGATTTCCACCGGACTTCCTTTCTTTCAATTCCTAAAAATCTTTACACTTTATCCATCCTGACTGTCGGTGGCCTGTTGGACCGGCGAACAATAGGGTCGAAAGCTCTATAGCCTTGCCTGATGAGACTGCAGATTGACCATTTTATTAGTCCTGTATATTCTCGTGTTATGGGTATTATAACATCACAGTTTATCTTCGTTGTTATTTTTTATTATTTTATTATTTTTCTTTTTTGTACTTTTTATCCGGCAGAGAGGCTAGGTTTAGCCAATGGTGGTAGTGCATGTAATAGAACCGACAACCGGAATTCCGGAATATTGTTAAGGGTTACATGTCAGCTGTGACACCTTGCGAAGAACGAAGGAACGCTAGCAAAACCTCCAAACTATCGGAAATTTGGCTTATCACTTTATTTTTCGATGAGACATATGGAAATCGATAGAGGTGTCAATGAAAATGTGCATGGATTTAAAAGCTTTTATTCAGTGATATAGAAATGTTAATTTTGTTCTGTGATGAATAACACCATCTGCAAGGTAACTGTAGCTGGGGATGACCTTTTCTACCAGTGCCTGTAATGACGACGGTATCCATAGCCTCCATAACCATACCTACGACGTCCATAGCCCCAAGGGTCAGGGTCAGCCACAGGGTCAGGACCAGCCAAGGGGTGAGGGTCAGCCAGGGCAAGGGCGTCGGGCATAGCGCGAGCGGATCCCAGGAAGCATGCCAGGGCCGCCAGCATAGCCATCAAGAAGGAGATCTGCGAAAAGGAGCCTCTCGTCATATTCCGGCTCGTTAAGTCACGTATAGATTCCAAATAGTGTCATGGATAATTTTGAAGGCGCATAATGCTTGGTAGAGTCCATATGGATTGCTAAACACTTAAGCAAGAAGCTGCTAAGCCTATAAATTTTGGATATTACAAATATTACACTTACAAGCTTCATCTTGAAACAGAGGACGTGTTGTCTCGATGCAGGTTAAGTGCAAGATAGGCTGCTCTGGATTCTTCAGAGCTTTTATACACCCCATGTAGAGCATTGGGGTTCCCCTTGTATTTCCTGGGAATATACAGGGGATGGGGGTTCAGGGACATTACTCCATGAGATGGTTTTTCTTTCTTGCATACATTTTGTTGTGTACTTGTCTATTCTCATACACACACAGGAGCATAATATGAGATTTTATGTGTGTGTATGTGTTTGTGTTTGCGAGAATGTACGTCGGAAGGTAGATATACATATAGATGTGAACCTATGTGCGTACACACACACACACACACAACATAAAAACTGGACGTCAAGTAACTTAGTAACTAAACCGAGAAAAGGGAAAATTCCAGAACTTCCCAGAAAGTTTAAGCCGAGCGACGCCTTAAACATTTTTGCTTTTTGGCAATGTTTTCATGTCATTGTTGCATTAAGTATATATACATATGTGTGTACATAGGTAAATATATGCATATATACACATATGTGTTATATATATATATACATATACGTGTGCGAACGTGTGTGTATGGCAGTTCAACTTCTTGATAATTAAGAACTACATAAATGTATAACAATAAGCTTTTTACGCGTGTCCATAAATAAACCTTGTCATTTTTTCCTAAAATACATCAAAACCCCAAAAGGCCGGGTAGAAATGACATGGTAACTTCAATGTTTCCATAACCGTGCATACATAAGGGTCTATACATGTGTATTGCGTGTTTAGCGTTATGTCTGAACGCATGCGCACGTATCGACATTTTTAGAGCATACACGTCTTGGGGGCCAGTGATGGAAAAACCCATACGGACTGAGGGCAAGAGAGGAAGCAGCTGACCGGGGATATAAAACGTCTCAAGGAAGAAGCTCAGTATCCAGATCGCCCTCAGTCGTAGAGGTTGAAGCAACTCCCCAGCAATCATGAAGCTGGTGAGTCTTTGTCCTTTTACATATGACAAGTTTCCCCCGATATATATATATACAGATACATATATACAGAATCCATTTGATACCCACATATAGATATTTACCCAAATCTATTCATATATATGTATGTATACACACATTCTTATAGGTATACACATGAGACGCACAACACAGACACATATACTATGCATATACATATATATATTTATAAATATATTTATATATTTATAAATACACATATACATTTATATATATTTACATATTTATATTTACATATATATATTTACATATTTACATATATATACACATGCATATATGTACTTATATATATTTATACATATATATGCATGTGTATATGTCTACTTATATATATATATACATATACGTGTGCGAACGTGTGTGTATGGCAGTTCAACTTCTTGATAATTAAGAACTACATAAATGTATAACAATAAGCTTTTTACGCGTGTCCATAAATAAACCTTGTCATTTTTTCCTAAAATACAACAAAACCGCAAAAGGCCGGGTAGACATGGCATGGTAATTTCAACGCTTCCATAATCGTGCATATATAAGGATCTATACATGTGTATTGCGTGTTTAGCGTTATGTCTGAACGCATGCGCACGTATCGACATTTTTAGAGCATACACGTCTTGGGGGCCAGTGATGGAAAAACCCATACGGACTGAGGGCAAGAGACGAAGCAGCTGACCGGGGATATAAAACGTCTCAAGGAAGAAGCTCATTATCCAGATCGCCCTCAGTCGTAGAGGTTGAAGCAACTCCTCAGCAATCATGAAGCTGGTGAGTCTTTGTCCTTTTACATATGACAAGTTTCCCCCGATATATATATATACATATACGTGTGCGAACGTGTGTGTATGGCAGTTCAACTTCTTGATAATTAAGAACTACATAAATGTATAACAATAAGCTTTTTACGCGTGTCCATAAATAAACCTTGTCATTTTTTCCTAAAATACATCAAAACCCCAAAAGGCCGGGTAGAAATGACATGGTAACTTCAATGTTTCCATAACCGTGCATACATAAGGGTCTATACATGTGTATTGCGTGTTTAGCGTTATGTCTGAACGCATGCGCACGTATCGACATTTTTAGAGCATACACGTCTTGGGGGCCAGTGATGGAAAAACCCATACGGACTGAGGGCAAGAGAGGAAGCAGCTGACCGGGGATATAAAACGTCTCAAGGAAGAAGCTCAGTATCCAGATCGCCCTCAGTCGTAGAGGTTGAAGCAACTCCTCAGCAATCATGAAGCTGGTGAGTCTTTGTCCTTTTACATATGACAAGTTTCCCCCGATATATATATATACATATACGTGTGCGAACGTGTGTGTATGGCAGTTCAACTTCTTGATAATTAAGAACTACATAAATGTATAACAATAAGCTTTTTACGCGTGTCCATAAATAAACCTTGTCATTTTTTTCCTAAAAAACATCAAAACCCCAAAAGGCCGGGTAGAAATGACATGGTAACTTCAACGTTTCCATAACCGTGCATACATAAGGGTCTATACATGTGTATTGCGTGTTTAGCGTTATGTCTGAACGCATGCGCACGTATCGACATTTTTAGAGCATACACGTCTTGGGGGCCAGTGATGGAAAAACCCATACGGACTGAGGGCAAGAGACGAAGCAGCTGACCGGGGATATAAAACGTCTCAAGGAAGAAGCTCATTATCCAGATCGCCCTCAGTCGTAGAGGTTGAAGCAACTCCTCAGCAATCATGAAGCTGGTGAGTCTTTGTCCTTTTACATATGACAAGTTTCCCCCGATATATATATATACATATACACCCTATTAGGTGGCCATGTGTTTTTTCTTTCTTTCTTAGATAACCTTCACAGGGAAAATAATATTTCTTTTAGGATTATATATGTATTTTCATATTCATCTATCCAAAAGAATATATAACACTTGATTAACAACATTAATTCAAAAAGGAAAATCTAATCCACATAATGCAAATGCTTATAAAAATAGCCATTTTACCACTGAAATAAATTAGTGCGTTCATGCTTTACTCTCTTGAGATAACCGCAGTAAATAAGTAACCTAATAAATATTCTTTAAAATACTTTAAAAGGAAGTCATGTATTCCAAAAAAATCACTTTTGTCATCTGAATAGATAGTATATATTCATAATCATGTTCATTCAGTTCTGCACGAACAAACCCTGCGTGCTAGTGAACTAGTTAAGGAACCGACATATGCAAGAAAATGAACAGTAGTCTTTTCTTTTTTTTTGTATGAGTTGCATAACTGTCGTTATTGAAGGAATAGTGAATCAAAGGATG